TTTCACTATATCATGAAATGATATCGGACATGATTAATGGTTATTTCACTATATCATGAAATGATATCGGACATGATTAATGGTTATTTCACTATATTATGAAATGATATCGGACATGATAACAAGAAATTATTTTATTATTAATATATTTATTTATTTAAATAGAATCATTTTCCAATTTTAAATTTAAAAAAAAAATGAAACAAAAAATTAAAGAAAAATTCTTTCATATTAAACCTAACAATTCTAATAAATTATTTTGTAATATATGTGATTCAAATTTTGTTAAACATGCTTCTAATGCAAATTTAAGAAGACATTTTGTCAAATATCATAAAAAGGAACTTGACGAATTTAATATTAATAATATTTCATCTGAGCTCACAAGACTTGAAAAATCTGGATCAAGTTATGATGAAGAAATTAGTGATACTAGTTCTATTTCAAATATCTCTCGTAAAAATAGTAATTTTAAAGGATTGATGGAAGGATTTGAGGGACAAGGTAAAATTGATATTATCAATGGTAAAATGAAATTTAAAGGAAAATTTAATTATAATAAATAATGTATTTATATGTAAATTTATCAATTATGTCATCATATATTTCTTAAAAAAAAATAATTATCTCAAATTTTATTTTTTTTTTATATAAAAATTTATTAAATACATATAATTTATTTACGTCTTATAAATTTAAAAATGTTTTACTTATATTTTGTCTAATAAATCATGTAATATTTAAATTGAAACATATCATTTTAAAATTATACATCTTATTTTCTTAATCATAAAAACTGATAAATAACTATATGATAATTTTATTTATCATATTAAAAATAATCTTTAATAAAAACTACTACCATAATGAGTATGAAAAATCTTTATATTGTTGTTTTGGACAATCTTTACTCAAATGCTTAATAGGTCTCCCATAAGAAGAGCATAAAAAACATTTAGGAATTGTATCTTTAAAAAAGTCATCATTTTGTGTATTTGATTTATTGTCTTTTGGCCAAATCATTGGTTTTTTACGTATGTAATCATGGAGCTTTTTTTCGCTCTCATAACATTTTTTACAAGTTGAAAATCTTTTTAATTTTTGAACTCCGCAAAAACATATATCATATTTCATACACCATTTACAAATCGTAAATACAGGACTCTTTTTGCCTTTACATTCGGGACAAACAATATCCAAATTCCAATTTGGCATTTTGTTTTATATACTTTATTTTTGAAATAAATTTTCATGTTTTTATAAATAAAATTAATTATTAATCCTCTTAAAAATTTTATATAATAATTAAAATCAATATTTATTTATTTATCTTAATTAAAATAATCTTATTCATATAAAAAGATATTTAATAATAATTCACATGATCTTAATTTTTAATCTCTACGTTATCTTTTAAAATATATTTTTCCATAAACTCTATATATTTCTCAAGTGTTTTTACATGTTTTTCATTAAAAATTTTTAACATTTCATTTTCTTTTTCTAATTTAATAGACTTAATCTTTTGTTCTTCTTCTTCTAAAATCACTTTTTGTTTTTTAACTTCAATAAAATGAGAATGATCTTTAATTTTTTGAACAACCTCATGATCATAACAAACACAAACTCTATCCTTAACAGGAGAGGAATTTAATTCATTTAAAGCATTATCACCTAACCCTATATTAGATACTAAAAATCCAATCTGATATTGGGTTTTTCTCATTACAGAATTTAAAAATTCTCGCATCTCATTCGCTTGAATTTTATATTTTTCATTTTTGTATTTGCATTGACAAAAATAATTTAAAATTCCATATTGACCTAAAATAAAAAAAATTCAGTAAATATATTATTGCATCATCACAAATGCTGATATTTACACGGGCGATTAAACAAGTTAAACCTCTTGAAACCGCGAGTCTGTCTCTCACTCACCGCAGCGTAACTTATATATCAATCTCATGTTTAACAAAATATATTTACTGAACTTACCATGAATATCAGTATTTCCATCAGATAAAGTACGAAAAATATCTTTAGAAAATGAAATAAAAGTCATATTTATTTCCGCAGTAATACCATTTTTTGTTAAAAACTCATAAATAAAATATTCAAAAATTTTTCCTTTTTTGCGATTAAAAGTCTCAGTGTTTGTTTTCAAAAAAGTATTAAAATCATCATCTAATAATTCTTCAACAAATTGATCAAATGTTTTATCAATACCAGAAAAAACAATAGACAAAGACATTTTTCGTATTTAATTCAAAAATAAAAACAATCATTTATATATTATTTAAATTAATAATAAAAAAAAAAAAATTTAATATTTAAATCTTATAAATTTATTATTCAATATAATTTAAATTTATAATCGATAATTTTTTCAATGATTTCATTTTTCTATAAATTAAATTCGATTCTACTATTTCTTTATTTTTTATCTATTTATTAAATTCCAAAAAATGTCTAATAACATAAATCATAAAAAAATTTTAAAATCTATAAATAAAAAAATTTCTAAACGTAATCTTCAATCAAAAATTGAAAGATTAATAAATCATAATCAAGAATTAAAAGAATTCATCAAAGAACTAAAAAACGAAAGACTTGCTTTCAAGAAAGAAAATGAAGATTTAAAAAAGAAAAAAAAAGACCTCAAAATAGAAATTAAAGAAAGAAATTGTTACTTTTCTGAATTTCATAAATTTCTTGATACAAAATATAAAAATATTTATTCTGAATTTGTCAAAGAATTCTCTCAACAAGATTCATTTAAAAAACTTGGATTTTCTTTAGATGATGAATTTTCATCCAATATTGAAATCATTGAAATTTCTGATAATGAAATAGAACTTCCTGAAATTATCGAATTGGAATAAAATGATATAATCAAATATTTTTTTACAAATTACAATAACTTTATTTTTTTTTTTATATTTGTTTATTGTTTATAATAAATATTTATGCGTATAATTTATTAATTAATTCATTATTTTAGTTTCGTCCATGATTGGTTTAATTTAGTGTAACTGCTGTAAATAGCTGATCATGGACGAAACTAAAATAACCTATTTTCAATTTAATATTTTAATTTTGTATCTCTATAAAAAATATAAATAAACTATATTTTAAAATATTTAAAATTAAATATGTACTCTTTAAATAATTTAAAAATTGAAGAAATTATCAATGAAGCTACAGGTACAGACAAAAAAATATTCATAAAATATTAATTAAATAAATTACTAACTTTTTTAATTATCAAGATTATATGATTCGTAAATTCAATAACAGAAAAAAAAATATATGCGCAGCAAAAAGATCCATTAGAAATTTTATTTTTTACGTAAATAATTTTAATGGAAAACCAATGAAATTCAATGACGGTCAAGTAGACATGTGGTCAGATTTTTACCAACAAGATATCTACAGCATGTTAACAGATATTAATAATAAAAGTATCGATTTTTGGAGTGAAAGAATATTTCACCAAATAACACATCGCATATATCAAGAAATAATCATTATAAATAATCAATATACTACATACGAATTAAAACAAAAAGACGTACTCATTGAAAAATTAAATAATGATTTATTAAATAACAAACAAATTTTGAAAATAAAGAAAATAATGATAAATTTAAATATAAAATATTCAGATAATGATTCTTTAGATAAAAAATTGGATAAAATTATTAAATATAGTGAAATAATAAATAAATTTTAAATAAAATCATTCAAATATGAAATCAACATATAAATATAAAAATCTTTCTGATTCGATATATTTATAATATCCATCAATTTGATATATGTATAAAAATTCTTCAATA